TACATTGTAGCATTGCAATACAGTGTGATATTGAGACACAGTGAAAGTGATCACCAAATTGGCTGCCTCGATTTTGTTGCGTTTTGAACAGGATTTGCAAAACGCTGCCTTTCCATTAGTTACAAAAAAAATGGACGACATTCAGTGCAGAAAAGAACGTGTGTTTTTTTTTTTTTTTTTTTCATTTGTCACTTAAAGGCTGTAGCTTGTTAGAGACTCGCACAAACAGAGCTCAGATTGTATGCATTGATTTCTCCTTGCTATGTAGCTGCTGCTCTGACAGCGAACGCACAGCCTGTCAAAGTTTGTTTGTCACCTGTTAAAATTTACAGTAATCGTGATATTTGTTTTGTTTACTGTCTGTGAGTGTAGGCCATCTGGGCGACAGGTCTGGTTTTACATATTAATGAGATTTGTGACATTTCTATTAGAACAGCTGCTCCTGTTGGTTGTGATAAAGATGAGGGATGATAGGTCATTCTGTCACTTTGTGCAAATGAACATTTAATAATTATTCCCTTATATTTTGTATTGCAACTTGTTTGACTATATGCTCCTCTCTGTGAAATATTATACACTGTGAATTACATGATGTTTCCCAATTCAAAAATGACTAGGTTCACATATCTGATGCTGTTTTATTCATGTTTTGAAGTCGTAGCTTAACATCCTATACCAGCGATTAGCATTAACACTGACAGACAGCCTCTCTTTAAACACTCAGCTGATTTGGATGCCTTTCTCATCAGGTGAATGGTTAATCTCCGCCCCTTGTCAGACACACACCAAACAACCACTCATCTGCTTTCTTTAATGTCTGCGGAGTTGATAGGACACACTCCTCTGACTGGCTCACAGCCCAGTCATCCCTAGCTGTCATTAAAGCATAAACCTCTACCTGAGGCTTTAATCCTCCTATCAGACAGGACCTGGACTTCCCCAATAGCACAGCTCGCTAACCTGGCAGTACGTGCCTCAGGACATCCGCAAATCTTGACTGCATTAAAGGGTAGCCACCATGCACACTTTATAAAATAAAAGGTGAAAAGTTGTTTTGTTTTACAGCGTTACAGCACCTTTCAATATTTTTCTTGCTTCCCATGGAACTCAAAAGCACAGAGACATGCTGGTTTGGTTCATAAAATCACACTGAGGTTTGATTCTTATTTATGTGAGTGCATCTTTGTTGTTTAAATTTTTTTTAATTGCTTTACATTTAGCAGCATTTAAACAATCAAGGTCATTAAAGGGAGATTCTTTTCAAAGCTACATTATTTTCATTTTAGCGTATAGAAAAATATTCTCGTGTGCTGTTTTGACTCTCGGCTGGGATGTTACTGTGTGTTCACAGAGATCTCGGGCCTTGTAGGAAACATTAGTGACATGGTATGAAATAAAGATGAAATGCCGCAGCCTTCAGCAGAAACTGTTTCTTTCATCAAGTAAATGAATCCTCTTATAGACAGCAGTGGTTATATTGTTTTATATACTGTATGTGATAATCCATACGAGGTCAGGCTTCACTCACCAAATTCCATATGAATATTAACAACTTGGTGCTCTGGGGGGCTGTGGTGCATTACAGGTGCAAAACCATTTCAAAAGGATTAGTCAGTGTGCTTTCCACCATCGTGCCTCTGAAAAGAGCTATTGTCTTGATCTGGTATCAAGATCAGTAAAGGACTCAAGTTATCTTAAACTGCATCATTAGTAAAAATTAATAAATAAATAAACAAAACAAAAATGAAATATAATTTAGGCACAGTAGTATCACCTGAGTGTGTGTTAGGTTTCTAAGCGTTACATGTTGTTTTACATGGATCATTCCTGGTTCAGTAACCCCATGTTTACATGTCTTCACGGCAACTACAAATAGTCCCATGTCAAGTCTCAGTTGCAGACAGCACTGGTTTTCAGGCATGGTATGCACACAAAGCCACCACAATGACAAGTGTGATTGCAGACTTGTTCCTTTTGTGAAAAAATCTTTCAAAATATTTTTTCTGTTACTCTCAGTCGCTGCTGTCTGTCACCACAACAAGATGAATGTAGATCACTGGCATCTCTAATATAAAAGTTTTGGGGATATAAAACTGTTTTTTTTAAAACATAGTTGTACAATAGTCATTTATGAAACCAGAAAAGCACCGGCACAACCAAATAAAAAGAGGGAGTTTACTTGTGGATTATATTTAGCAATGCAGGGCTTACCTGTACCACACAGCAAGTGCACTATGTTTCCAGTCCTCAGAGCAGCTCCTGGCTGTGTCGGATTCCACAGCTTAATGTACGGCGTCTTAAAAACGCTCTCTGCCTCCTCTAATACTGTCGGCCTAATGAAGGACAGTTTAATAAATGCAGCAGAACTAGTGATATTGTCTTTTTTATTCTACACATTCCTCCGAACTTACCCACAATTCATGTCAACTTACTTACTACTTACTACTTATAATTCAGGTGTGTAATGCTAGTAGCAGCTATGTAGTCTCCAGCAGCTAGTTGCAAGCAGAGATGAGGAGTGGGCTACAGAGGTCTGGTATCATTATTTCTTCTAAATGCACACGCCCAGATTTTTTCCTTTTCAGTATTGTAGTCTTCAGACCCAAACAACACTGACTCAAGTGACATCACTTGAGTTTATCAGATTTCACACAGCTCTCTGTGAAGCCACAAAAAGCTTTATACAACCTTTTTTCACATACTGTACATACGCAGTAGTAGGCCTATTCTCCAAGACCAGTAAACAGACTTTGATGTGTAAAGTTGGTGGAGTTCTCCTTATATGCGAGTGGAAAAGAAAATACATGCAAGTAAACAAAACATAAGAAGACTGAGAAGCACATTCACCAGTTTGACAACACATTTGTAGCACAATGAAACATGCTGGAAATACAAAGATGCTGTTGTACAGAACAAAATGGAAATGAGTTACAAAACAAAAGACATTTTAAAGGGAAAAATAGTTTAAATGTGAAACACTTTTCTGTGTTTCACCTTACTTCATGTGTTTTTCTTGAGTTTCAGTGCATTAAGTTTTCAAGGCCACTGTATGGGTCAGCTGTAAACAGATTGTAAATAAATCATCAAAACCTTGTTCAAAAGTACAACAAAGAAACAAGCCTCTGTCTCTGAGGTTCTTGTGAAAGGTGCTTTTCTCAGCTGCTGTAGCAGGTTTGCAGATTCATACTTGTGTGATGCAACTCAATCATCACCTGATGCTTTAAGCCCTGTAGATTTGGGGGTCCACAACACAGAACTGCATGAAATTGGCTTCTTAGTACTAAAATGCACATTAATATATCAGAATTCATCCTGCACAAAAGCTCCCAATTAAATATTTGTCCTTCATGTAGAATAATGTGTGCTTTGTGAAATGCAAATAAGCATATCAGTGCATCCATTTTATGACTGAATATTTGTTCAATGTCTAAAATGTCTTTGTGTATAATTGTTGGATTCACAACACCCTTCCTTCTAATATCTGCATCGTTATCAGTGTTGAGACTACAGGGGGCACATAGCATCATTTCAAACCTCATTTAACACCGAATCGTGCCCCTTTCTGAAGCCCAAATTGCTCACCATGGAGCAGCAGAGTGGCTCCAGACATTCATTAGCTTAATGAAAACAGGCCACTCTTCTACCGCCCAGCGAGCGCTTTCTCTGCGTAGCTGCAGCAACCATCTGCTCTCAAGCTCCCTGCCAGCTATAGGATAGTCCTGTCAAGGCAACCCCTGTGACGAAAGGCGTCTACAAAAGGTGCCTTAATCATTCAGATCAGAGGACGGGCAAGGACAGTGGGGATGATCTGTTTTTTTTTTTTTGTGATGGTTTCATCTCTGTGTCCCTGGTGCCTTCCTAAGATGAGATGTAGCATTCAGTCATGATGTTAATCATGTTCATGAAATTAGCTGAGTGTGCATTTGTTGGAGTTGAGTTGCAGCAGCCACACAGCTGGCAGTGAAGTTATTAGCCGCTCAGCCACAGTGGGAGAGTCTGTTTTGTGAAAAGGTTAATATCATTTTAGGGTTGGCCAGAGTATGGTGTGGTGGTCGACTGACCACCTGTTCAGCTCTGGAGGAGGTCTCTTATCATCTCATCCAATAGCACACATTTGAAGGTCGAACCATTTATTACAATAAAACATAAATAAATAAATAAATAACAGTGTGAGATAGTATAAGTAGTCTTTATGGGTTTGTTTCAAGTAGCAAATGATTAAGTCTCTTTTCTTCTCATTTTCTAATTGATCTTCTGCTCATATTTTCTTCAGAAACGACCCATCTGACTGCAGTTGTGCTGTGAGTTTCACCTCTCGGATTAATCACCACTAATCTCAGCAGTGTTGCGCCTGCAACAACCCAGAGCTACTTTTCTCAATATGAACACTAGCTGGTGCACAGCGAGAGGGAAATGATCGTCAGAGCCCCGAGGCTGGAATCTGATAGTTTGTCATCTGGATAGTATTACTTAATTTCCCACTGGGAAGAAACTCATTATTTCTGACTTTATCTCAGCACTGACCTCTGAAACAGTCTCAGGAACGTTATTGGTTTGAGCCCATGTTCCCTTTCCTTTTTTTTCCTCGGCAGGACATGCATGACCCTAAACGCCAATAAGATACATGACTAGCGAGGGCACAGTTCAAGCAAAAGGATGGATGCATACGTTATGCCAGACTGCAGATGAGAGTCCTGTTCACCTTTAATGTGCTACATACAGAGAACAATTATATTGATTTATCACAGGTCACATTACAGCTTCTTCACACATGATGAATGGTGAATGGAATATGAGATTATATTGATAATAGATAACTAATGTCCAGCAAACATATTTTATGTTCAGCCTTTTTTTCCAAACAGATTTATATCCAAGAGAGTGGGAGAGTTTTGTCTTGACATTATACATTTTTCATTATGTGTCCTCTTCTTACAAACTGTATGTTGAAAGCATTGATAATGGGTCTGATCACTTCTATTCTCTGACCTGTGTCACAGTTTAATTTTGTCGGAAAGCTGCTGGGACCACGGGGAAATTCCATGAAACGATTACAGGAAGAAACGGGTGTGAAGATGTCCATCCTCGGCAAAGGGTCCATGAGGGATAAAGGCAAGGTAAGAAAAATATCGATTTGGGTTGAAATATAGCTGTTTGGCTGCTCCAAGATATAGATCAAGTGGAAATATTTACAGAAACAAAGCTTGAAATTCCGCTTGAAAGCACAGAAGAATATTCGAACAAATAATATCTGAGCTGTAACTGAGATGAATGGCACCCGGAGTACAATTAATAGCTTTCAGTTGACAAACATATGTAGAAGAAAATGGAGATGTTTTTCTGTGTGTTGTTTAATAGCATATTCTGTAATAGTCAATTATGAATGCAAAGTAATGAATCTCTGCCAAAGTCATTTATCCTGCTGACTTGTGATCCCCTGGAGCCAAACTTATCCGAGCATGTACACAGACAGGCTGCTGGATCTGGTATTCACGCTCATAACAGGTCTCAGTGTGCTGCTGTAGAGTTACATCGCTATTATTACTGTAGCCTCTGATTCAGACATCAAGACATGACAAAAGCCCTACAGTCTCACCACCTCTCTGGTGAACTGAAGCTGCATTTCAATACGTCAAAAACATGTAGAGGGGAACATACCGCAGGAGCTGTTACAACTACTTTCAACATGTCACTGAGGTTTTTGTTGTCACCTGTACATATTTAATCCAGTTTATTAAGGTGAATATGCAATCTCACTGCAAGGTCCATTCAGTAGCTGTTCTGGAGCTTTTGATGTTAGTTCTCATGGAAATATGAATGTTCAAATTTTCTTTTCTCTTTTTTTTTATTTGAGCACTTCAAGGATTTTTGTTAATGTTATTGTAAAAGTTAAGGTGCAAAGTTCATTCATGGCCTTGCAAATATATATAAAAATGTATATGCAAACATTCATACATTTTTACCTGTCATACAGTGTACTTTATGTGCTGTGTTTGCTGTATAATGTAGTTTTATTTCTTTTTTTACACCATCCAATTGTAGACATTCTGTTAACTTGCATATTTGCTGGTAAAAAGCTTCAGTCAACAAAATAAAACTAAAAATTTTTCAATAATCGTGTGGCTTTGTAATTAGAAATCAGTACCATTCACAGGGATTTCCATTCAGGCCTAATTGTGAAGCTGAAAGTTTTCATCAGCAGAAAGCACTGAAACGTTTCTTTACTATCACATTTTTGAGCATGCCTTAGTCATGTGCAAGAGTTCATTAAAAAATTTGGCTTACCGCCACTAAGTCCATTCAGTTTACCCATGTGCTGCATTAAGGAATCAGTAAAGAGGTGCTGAAATGTTAATAACAGCCAAACTATCAGCAATATGGCAATTTATATACATGCATGCAACGCTTAGGTTGTGATTCTGCTCTGTACAACATACATTATCACTATCAGTGTCAGGCTGAGGGGGACGCATACTGTGTGCACCACTGAGGAAAAATAATAGACTCTTAACAGTTGTCTCTCACCAAAGGAGGCCTATGTAACGATTGGACTTAGCTTGGTGTTGTCAGTCTGTGATATTGATTTTGTGTACAGTCTGGGCTTGTCTGAAGCCCTGACAACCTGAGACGGATGCCGAAAGGTTGTGACTGAAAGTCTGGCTGCCATTTCAAGCGGCCTTGTGGCAAGGCAGTGTGGTACAGAGATAGTCAAAGTCCCATTGCATGCAAAAGCACATTGACATCACACATTTCTGCCATCTCATCCAGTTCCTCTGTAGGGTGCATTTGCATCTGAGTAGCCCACCCACTAGTATCAGACCATATGGTCAATATTGCAACTTGTGCACAGGTAGGCTATTTGCCTATTTAACACTGTGCTGATTCATAGCTCTAAAGCCTAGAGTCCTCATTTCACCTCTCTGACTCTAGACTGTGCACCACTAGTCAAAGCAAACACAAAGTCAGAGAGAAGTTTTATTTCTGAGCTCCTCAAGTCCTTATAGCAGTGCAAACATATAATATCGATTGATTAAAGACATGGGCAAACTGCCGTCATGGTGACTGATGTATAGCTCTCTCTCCACTGCAAAACAGCATGACAAAGTATTGAAACAACTCAGAGACACGATCATCTGCATGTTTTGATCTGATCCATAATGACTGAAGCTCTCTGACAAAGAACTGTCAAGCCTGCTGAATTTTTTTAATTAAAGCTGACTTCCCCCAGAGGGTAGAGAACAGCCCTGTGATGCTAGGACAAAAGTTTGAATCCCCAAATTAGCTTGGTGAGTAAAGTGTGGTACTCTCACCTCTGTGAATAAAGGTGTCCTTGAGCAAGGCACTCAACACCCAACTGTTCAATCAATGAATATACTTTTTTTTTTTTTTAAACTCCCAAACTGTGTTTATATTGAGATGACTGAATAATCTCTCCATTGTTTAGACTGCAGCAGCTGCATTTGTAGATGCTACAAGTAGAAGAAATGTTGCCACTCCAAGTCTGACATGACGTCTGATCATTTGTTCAGAGGAGAATGGATTTTATGATTCAACTGGTTCCTTTTAAAACACAGTTAAGACCCCAAGCTGTATTACAGATCTTTTAAGCCTTCAAAGCCAGTGTGAAGCCTCAGGTAGGACCCCCCAGGGCCTGGGTTAAGACTAAAAGGTGACTGCGCTTTTCTTGTGATCAGACTGTGGAACAGTTTGCAGTAAGAGCTTGGGAATCTTTTTGTTTCTCATAGACTTGCTTTACTTAAATACTACACATCCAAACTGAACAGCCAAATAGTTTGCTTCATTCCTTTTTCATTTTTCTTGAGCTCTTGTTTTATCGTTTAATCACTTTGTAAGCACAGTATTAAATTGTGCTTCAGTAATGTTATTCATTCCACGCTAACACTACTGCACTACGGCTGTACTCAGGCACAGCGGTGCATTGAGCTAAATGCTAATATCAGTATGCTAAAATGCTCTTGATGTGAATGCCAACATGCTAATAATATTAACCTTGTTCGACGTCTTTGTTTAGCATGTTAGCTTGCTAAAAACTGGCCAATCGCCAGTAAACACAAAGTACAGCTGAGGTTGATGAGAATGTAGATATTCAGTCACTGAAAGTTGTGAGAATTGAGATTTCACCTGCATCCCATGGTCTTCATCAGTAGATGGAGTCTGCGCCACTGGACATTTCCCTATAGGACTCTTTCACAGATATTTTGACTTGCTATTGCAGGAAAAGCACAGGTGTTGCCAATAGCCTTAACGATGTCCCATTCCATTTAACTGTCCCAGTAACCATGCCAGTAGTCAAGTATGCACACGCACAGGGAACTAAGACCGGAGCACCTGACTGGAATGCTGCTGGCATCGTTAACTTTAATTGCACCTGTGCTTTTCCCGCTTTAACAAGTCAAAAGGTTTCCAGTGAAAAAGGTCTGTTACATTACTGCACTTATTTAGCACCATTTATGTTGTTAGAACTTGGAACTAATTTAATAAAGGGAATGTTGAAACCTTTCCAATCTTTTTTTTTTTTTACCAACCCCTGATATTTAATGAAAAAAAAAAAAATCTGAAAAGGCACTGCGTCTGCTGCTTTTATATACTGTATGTTGTTTTGCCATTGTGCCATTGTCTTCTGTCTCCCCCTCATTAAAAAAACAAACACACACACACACACACACACACACACACACACACACACACACACACACACACACACACACACACACAAAGAAAGGTCTCTATATGTTTGTTTTTATTTAATGAACCTGTCGTACCGCGCCTGTCCACCAGGGGCTCTGAGTGGATCTGCCCACCCCACATCCATATTCCTCATCAGCTAATCAGTCTTCTCATTAACTTATCAGTCTTTTTTGTGCTGTAGCCTATACAGCAGTTGACATTTTTGACTCTTACCATTTGCATGATTCTACCTGTTGGTAAGTGCATACCTGTCTGAACACTAAAGTAAAGCTTCTTTTGAATGCACTCGTCCTCTCCTCAGTCTCTGTGCGATGGCAATTACTGATACATTACTTCCATTTTTCTGTCTCTTAGGTGTGCCTTTTTTTTAGGCACTATATCTGTCATTTTTTCCTAGGTCTTTATTTATATATTTTTATAAGGGTTCCCATATCCATATGGCACAAGCAGCCACCAAATCATTTACTGACCATCAAGATGACCTGAGCTAAATACCATGTCTGGGTCACTGGAAGTCTGTCCATTTAAACATTTTTGGGAGCTGTTTTGGAGCGGTGCCTGCAGAGCATTCCTCACACAATCACAACATTCAATTTCTATCAGAAAAAAAAAAAAAAAAACATTCACCAACAGCATCCCTGGTGCCACAATCTATGACAGAGCTCTACTATCTAGCCAGTTATTCTTGTCTTTTTTTTTCTGTTGTTGTCAGATGAGCTGTAATTATTCTCCAGAAGTTAAATTATTCCTTGTGCTCATGCAACCACACATTTTTAAAGCAGAAGTCCTCCATCTGGCTAGATGTAGATTTTTAACCAAACTAGCAGCATTTCTCTAGGGATGGTAATATCAGTCAGTCCACCAGTTTGGTCCAAGGACTGAAATATTTTACCAACTGTTGATGGATTGCCATGAAAATTTGTGCAGACAGTTTTGGTCCCTGGAGGGCGAATCCTGCTGTCTTTGGAGATCCAGCTGACTTTTCCTCACACCTCCATGAGGTTGACATTTTTGGTTTTTAGTAACCTGCCTTTGGCTTTTTAAAGTATTTATTACAATTGGCATATTATAGTAATATCATTAGACTACGTAGATACTTATCATGTGAATGTTGGTCTCTTTAATGGACACAAATCCTTCACTTGCTCTCCTTTTTTCATAGGAGGAAGAATTAAGGAAAAGCGGGGAGGCCAAGTACGCCCATCTGAGTAATGATCTTCACGTTTTAATTGAAGTTTTCGCTCCACCTGGAGAGGCATATTCCCGCATGAGTCACGCTTTGGAGGAGATTAAGAAATTCCTAGTTCCAGTAAGTTTTATTCTTCACCTTATTTATTCCTCCTAATTTTTATTCCTGTGTCATATGTGATCATTAGTCATTACTGCTGACTTGATCGTTTCTCCACCAGGCTTATTAACACAAAGCAAACAGCTCCTCAGTTTACAGCCCTCTGCAGAGTATCCAGGGTGTGTTTACATAAGAGTAAGATATAAGCATGAAGTTTTTCTCTGTATTACAACCACTGCTCTGCACTTCAGGCCCTTACTTACAAATGAAAAATAATGTATTCAGCAATTAAAGTGCAGTATGGAACAACTCGCAAGACTCCCGACAACTTATAGCCCGGAGAAGTTAGCAATAATTAATGTGCATGTTGTGTACTCTTGCTGAGTCAAAGCTGTAAATATTAATCAAGCTTTGCAAATGTGACAAGCCTAATAGAGGAATTGTGCTGCATGAGTCTACTTTATGGAGTTCATGTGTCTTCTATAGTGAGCCAATGTTCTTACAAGCATGTCTGCTCACTGAGCCAGGGGGATGATGATACTGCATCTGCACTGAGCAGTTCATACTCTTCCAAATACAAATTACTTTACACTGCCACTGTCTGCCAAAAAAAAAAAAAAAAAACAAGCAAACGAATATGGGATAATTAATCTGTTCCTATTTTCCCTGAAAGCTAACACAGAAACATTTCTGTTTGTTGGCTTTCATGAAAAATACTCCATTTGTTTCCCTGTTTGCAGGCTGTTAGCTCGTCTAGATTTACTGTAACATTAGTAAAGTGAAAACCGAGGAGAGAAACAATGTTGACACCATCAGGGTCTCATGAACCCGTGACTCATGTTGGTGCTAACGATTTGCATGCAAAATTAGGCCTTTAAAAAAACAAAACAGAACTGGCCCCTGCTGCACCATGTTGCATGCAGCCAGAGCACATATCAGATCTGTTTAAAGTGTTGTGAAACCCTTTGTCTACCTTGGTGTTATAAATGCACACCACATGTGCATTCGCTCAGAAATCAGCATCCCATTTGTGCCGTTCTTCACACTGTGCAATCCACACCAATAAAAGGGTCAGCTGGCTCTCCTGCTCTTTTCAGATCAGCGGGGGCTTTTTTGTATTGTATTTGATGCTTTATTTGACTGTAAATATGCTGGCAGAGTCTCAGCTCTGGCTTCACTGCAGCACCTTGAGAAAAGATGAGGTATTGTATTCTGAATTATTCTAAAAGAACTGCAGCCGGGTTTTTCTAAATAGCGTACACACAGGATTGGCCGTTATACATTTCTTTTTTAAATAGGTGCACTCATTCAATAAGCACAGACAGGTTAGGCCAGGCAAAAGTTTGAATCTTTTGTGAAAATTTGCCTGCAGAACTAATGATGTGGAGAAACTAGGAAGAAACCTATTCAGTGATATTTCAGTAAGTGACAAAAGGGCCAGTTAGTGGAAGTTGGAAGTGAACAATAAAACCCTTAAGTGATGATTTATAATTATTATTATTGAAAGCATGGGTGCCAGATATTGGGGGAAAAAACAAGTTGTAACCTGCTTCTTCATCAGACCTTACATTTCCTTCCTTACATTGTCTTTTCATGGTGAGTATGGATAAAAGCCCAGATTATTTAGTGAAGTCAGAAAAGGGGAAAAGATCACTTTGTCCCCAAATTCATTTTATTCTATATATACATGTCGATAAAAGCATAAAAAATGAACTGCACATAATGTAACACAACAGGCATCTGTCAGGATCCATAGTGACAGATATTTCCTTCCTCTGGTGGCAAGTGTCTCCTTCTGTCTACTTGTTTTTTTGGGGTTTTTTTTATCACTGCACTGTGCAGGAGCGGGTTGTCAGAGAGCGACTTCATGTGAAGCGTTAGTGGGGTTTGATTTGGCTGTAAATTAGCAAAAGTGATTTAAGAGTGTATGTTTCCAACAGGCTGAGTAATGTAAATGAGTTTATGTGGTTGGAATTAAAGGGGGACTCTATCAAAGTCTGTTTACAGGTCTTGGGAAGTACTACTCATTCGGCACCGTGATGTCTGGAAATAAATGTCTGATCCCTATGATTTCACAAAACCCTGCTTCCCACTGAGCTCCCGACTACAAAACAGGATAAATAAATACACGTTCTTTTCATCTTTTCACGCTGATGCGCTGTGCAGACTTGTCTTCTGTTTATAAATCTCAAATATTCATCATGTGAACAGGCCGTGCAATCATTTTCAGTTAGAATTGAAGGTGCACAATTTGTGTGTATTGTGTTTTTTCATTTAGTTCTGAGAGGAAAAAAAGAAAACACACAGACCACCAACAAGTGCGGTTTGTCTGACTGCAAGCTTTGTGAGATGACTGAGAAAAGAAAGCTCGTCTTAGCGGGAGCCCTCAGATCTGGCGCGAAGCAAAATCTGATCCGTGCCGTCAGCTTAGGGAGAGAAGGAAAAAAAATGTAAACAGGAACCTAATCAGTGGACTACTGTATATACAGGCTGAGAGTGAGGAGCACTGGAGAAGGACAAGCGATCCTGCTCTCAGCTGGATGAGCATGTGGCCTTCATCTCGGGCCAAGCTGCGATGGGGAGCATTTTGGCAGAGAGAGGATGACACAGATGCTTGAACAAGATATGTGGCAGTAATTTGTTTTTGCATAAAGTCAAACAGATTATGACGGACACAGGTCTGCTTGTTTTTTTTTACTTTTTATATAATTTACTTTGAGCCATATGCTCCCAATGAGCAGCAGCACTTAAGGTGGGTCTGGGTTTGCAGGGGTGAATGCTTGATGCACATCATTATCTGCATTTTCATCCTCAGCATACATCCAGACTGTGCAGGTGTTCTCAACAACGCAGGGGCCAATTTTGCTGTGGAAATGAGGGGGGGGGGGGGGGGGGGGTGTGCAATTTGTGCTGAGTTAACTTGCAGACAATATATAAATATATGCAAATTCCAGGTGTGGAAAAAGGCTCACTCTGTGGTTCACTTATGCTTTGCTGCATCAGGACATCAATAGCAGCACTGATTCTCCTCTGTATTCAATATCAAACCATCCACAGGGCAGCACAATAAACTGAAACGCACAAGTCCAAATCAGGATACATGAAGGTGAATATGAATATAAACTTTTGGTTTCACCAAATAATGAATAGAAGTCCAGATCAACATCCAACATCTTTTGATAAGGAATGAAATCAGCAGCTCACACCGAAAAACATACGGTCATACATTATAAAACTTCACAAACGTCGTATCAAGATGCAGATTAACAGCTGCTGCAGCTGCGTGGCTGCTCCTTTGCTTTGGGAGGAACATCTTTCAGGAGGTTGTTATGCGAGACAGCATGTGCTATGAAGATTTTTCAGACCTTCTTAAGCTGAAAAAAAAAAAAAAAACAGTTTCGAAACTGGCATCTTCCTGGCATCTTTTCTGTGCTGTACCTATCCATGAACCACGTCTGCTGTGCGCTGTTAACATTTCCTGTTGCCTCCAAGAGGTGTGAAGTGGTGAATCTAAAAATGCCCACAGCGGCACACAAAGTCTCCTCTCCCATTGCTTTGAATAACTTGTGGCTTGTGACAGTGTCGGTCAGAACCATTTGTGTGTATAAGGACTGAAACAAATGCATGGTGCCAGGGTGCCACGTCCGTAGTACGAGTGTGTGTTTGCGAAACCATATGTCCCTGCAAGTTGATGTTGACCTGCATACCAGCAATGTAAGGGAACAATGTCTCACACACTTCAATAAGCCCATGCAGCGCTGCGTGGACATGACGCAACCTGAACCTGTGTGAGAGCATTTTCAGAAACATGCCGTTCAGGAGCTGTGAGGTCATCTAAATGGATGGGGATGGGATGAGTCCCTTGCATCAGCCGATCTAAAACGAGATACATTTCAACAATTCAATTACCACTGAATCTTTAGCTCTGTCCTCCAAACTAACCAGGGGCATCTCCTGACATACATCCATCTGACATGATATGAGCAGTGATCTCATTATAGTAATAGCAATAGTCGAGATCAAATAGGTCCTGCAGCTAACCTGAGGTCACGTAAAACGCGCCATGTTTAACAATCGTTGACCGTATTAGTAATACAACAAAGGCCACAGGATATACAGTATTTAAAAGCTGGCATTGATTTGTTTTGTTTGGATTCGTATTTTGTTTCTGTTGGAGAAATTCATTTACACAGTAAAATCTCACCACTTCAAGCCTCATGGTTTCAGAGGAGGTCCGGCAACATCCCTTTTAATTAAAGATCAAATCCACTGAGATTGGTTATCCAAACAGGCTGAATTCATTTCTGTGTGTATTTTTACCAGGGAAAATGTCCAAGGATACAAGAGCAGTTCTTTCACAAATGCTCCTGTGGCCGACAGACTCAAATCACTGAGATCTAAGATAATATATAAGAGTGATTGGTATCACCATTCTTCCTGTGTTGACCTCTTAAAAGTCTAACTTTAGCTATTTGAAGGGCATCATGTGTGCACAAGGTCATGCATGGTCAGAATCAATCTCAGTGAGCAAACAGTCTGACCCGAGAAGCCTCAGCATGGGGTTTATCTCTGTATACTCATGTTAACGCCTCTGTCAACAGTCAACTTTTACAGGCTTTGGCAGATTTGTTGTGCTTTGGATAAGCTGCCAGCTTTCAAATTAAAAGCTCTGCCAGTCTCCTTCAAACCAACAGAACACTGTACGCCGTATTAATTCATTAACAAGAGGAGCGCAAGTGTGTGTATGTTTTTCATAAAGAATTCATGGTAGGGTATTACAGTATGAGGAACATGATGCTGAAGTTTGGTATTAATGTGCAAAGTGTTCTTCAGTACAGACCATACAGTCTACAGTGTCATTGGCTCGGTTTTGGTTGGGGATCGTGATTGTGTGTCACTTCCCCACTGTCTCCAATCATTTCCTGTCTACAGTCCACCTTTGGAATAAAGGCAAAATACACACCAATGTGTGATGTTATGGTATCATTTAGTCCAGGATCGAAGTCAAGATCTTAAAGATCTCACCCAGACATGTTTAAAGACATATAGAATACGCTGCTTGAAAAAACAAGTTCAGTTTACTAGTTAGAATTTCTAAATTAAAAAAACTAGAATTTATATACGTATGGATGGACGGACAGACAACCCAAAAGCATAATGCCTGAAAAAAAAAAAAGACGTCTACTCCTTTTCTCTCAATGAAATGTGAATATGCAAAGTTTAAAGGTGCCCTGCAGAGTTATATTGTTTACATTCACTGTTACTCACCAAGACACATTGTGTGTATCCTGGAGGTTTTAGGAGCGTGTTGAATGTATTTCTATGCTCATAAAAGATTTGCAAAGCAGATTTTTCTTAAAAGTGTGAAAGCTGCAGCGTTTCCATCCATGTTCATTGTCTTACAGTCTTCCTCCTCACTACCTTTGTTGGCACATACTGTACCTGTTGATTAGTGGTGAATGAGAGTGTGAAGCCACTGGCTGCAATGTGAATCGTGTCGCCCATGGGCACATGAACGAACAAAATGGGGACAGATGCATAAAAACATCCATAGAGTTACCAGAGGTGGACAAAGCACACAACTCCATTACGTGAGTGAAAGTACAGATCCTCTTGGTCAAATATTACTCCAATACAAGTGAATGTTGTTCAGTCAAGTTTTTTCCTTCAGTTAAAGTACTGGAGTACTTGATTTTTAAAAATAATTAAGAACTCAGAAGAAGATTCTTGCATTTTTGTCAACGTGTTGTTGTATTGTTCCACAGTGTATTTACAGAACCTAATGACTCTGAAACAACCTACTGAAGCACTGACTTTCTGCAGAACCTGTAAAAATAAAAAAGCTTGTAGAATATGATACAAACCCTATAGCAACGGACATAAAAACTCAACTGAATCAACAAAAGGAGCTATTCTTGTTTTCATATTTCTGTCTTTTTTATGCAGCGATGAAGTTTGGTTGTGGTAAACACAGCAAACATTTAAGACAAACTTTATTTATTTATAAAGTTTCAAACATCGTTAGATCTACCGCTGCCAAGTTCAAACTGAGATGTTCAAAAATGCAAATGCAGCAAGCACAACATGACTGAAAGTGTAGGAGTTGGCTGTGATCGGTTTTTCTCCTGTGATGAACACAGTGTATGGTCTATCACATTTTCAAAATAAAAGAAAATTTATTCCACAGACTAAAAGCTGCTTCAAAGTAAGAGTACTTCAGTACTTCATAGAAATGTAGTGGAGTCAAAAGTAGAATATTTGTCTTTTAAGTGTAGTGGAATAAAAGTCAGAAGTTTCCATAAAAAAAATAATACTCAAGTAGAGTACAGATACTTGAAAAATATATTTAAGTACAGTACTTGAATAAATGTACATCATTACTGTCCACCCCTGAGTGTCAAAAACTGAAAAGTCAGTTTTCAGTTAATGTGCACTGGATGCTTCAAGTTTCCACATCACACTTTTGTAAGTTGTACATTGAACAACAACTGGCAACAACAAGCTGTAATGTCACACAATCGTACTCAAATGTCCACATCTTATGAACTCACAGAGAAACTTTCCTCCTTCAGCAGACGAAATTTGAAAACTGGGCTCATTTATCATTCTGCATAAAGAAGCTCAAACCTCCAAAAATGTAGAAATCAGTTACATTTATGAATGGAGGGGGGACTTTTTAACATGAGCAGCTCATGCTGAAAAGACCTGCCAACATTATCGAGCTGAAAAAAGGTCCTGAGGAAAATTATGAATTATTACAGAAAGAGAACGTGATTGTGGACTTTCCTGCTAAAGTTGACGTCTGATAATCTACAAGTCTACAAGAGGAACTACTTATCGCACTTTTAGACAATTAATTAGTTTCACAATTTCCTGTTCGCACAAAATTATTCAAATCTAATAATAGGTGTAGGTAAGATAGGTAGTATTGTCAAAGATTTTATTGTATTCAGTGCCAAAACTATGCAAATCATTGAGTGGGCAGGTACTCCGCTGTGACTAAGTGTGGTGTAGGTGGGCTTATACATGTAACATAATGGAAATACACAGAGGAGAAAGAGAAGGAGGGTGTAAAAAGAAAAGAAAAGGTGACACTAAATCACTAGTGTATTATATTATACTGTGAACTGTAATCTAAACCGCACAGAACTTGCACACCCATTAATGTTATCTAGTCCTGCACTTATCACTCTGGACGGAATCATATCTTATGAATCAATGTGCAGTGAATTTATTGGTTGGATTAATGCTCGCACAAAGATGTCATTGACTCTATGGTTGTAAAGACTAAGAGTAATGATTAATGACCAGGGGAAGTTCTTTTCAACTCTTACACTGCCTCACATAGTCTGGAAACTTACTGTATGATGAAAACTCAAAGTGCAAACTGGGTCTTTAATGACCTCAACATGTTTTAGGAATTTGTTCAGAATGAAGTTTTTTTTGGGATTTCTCGCTCTCAGTGCAGGACAAGAAACACTGACCACCAAAGAAATCTCTTCCTGCCTCCACTGCTTTGCTGTCATTACAAAAACATTTTGTCCATTGTAGCAAATCTTGTGGGTTTAGTTTAAGAGTTTCTGAGAAATAAGCCTGTTTATCTGTCAGCAATGACAAGATAATGAATACTGCTTTGTCCACTCCCTTATCTTCTGTGTAATGATCCATATCATGTTTGATAACGGGTTGAGGAAAATGGTTCAGAAGCACAAGATGACGATATTCCCCACAAAGTTGTTGAAAGTGTCAATTACAGTCTGTGTGTGCCAACAAAGTAAAGGATATTTTTATGTTGTGTTAAAGGGAGATGAAGGGTTTTTTGAGGTTTTTGATTTTTTTTTTTACCCCTTTTTTATCTCTTCTTTTTTCTCAACATAAAGGTTTGAGAAATTATTTTTGAGAAATCTTGTCTTGATTTTGACGGTTAGACATTTTGACTTTCAGCCACCCAGAAGACAGTTTGTTGTCAAAAATTCACTCTAATTCTGCATAACAGAAACAAATTTGTTTTCCATTTTCTTTTTATCATGCAAACTTACTGCAAACAGTGGATCCATGGCCCTTTTGAGGAAGATGTATTGTCTTTTCCTACATTATTTATCCCTCCCCTGCATTTGGCGTCCAAACATAACCAAAGAAAAGAGTCTTCATTGAGAATTCAATGCTCAGGAACACCATGTGTTTCCTGTGCGTGTCAAGATAATTTTAATTTGATGACATTTGCTGCTGTTGCGAGCATCTGTTGCAGTCAGGAGACAAATGTCCTTGTTTTTTTGTTGTTGTTTTTTTTTATTCTATATGAGACATGCTGCTTTTTATTCCTGCAGGACTACAATGACGAGATCAGACAGGAGCAACTGAGAGAGCTCTCCCTGTTGAACGGCTCTGATGAGTCGAGCAGAGGGAGGAGTGCGCAAGGGAGGAGTGTACGGCCAGCAAGCACAATATCCACGAGGTAAACTCTTTATTACAGCTTTGGAAAAAGGTGCCCAGAGTGTTTTTGTGAAAACAATAATCAAGGCTTAGTTAAGAAATTCTGAAGGTTTCTATTTTAATAATAGATCTGAGAGAGAAAATGGGATAATCTTCCAAAGCACATCTGCTGTAAAAGCCGAGACTTGTGCTCAAAGTTAATTCTGTTTTGTTGTCAAACTTGGTGAAAACTTTTTTTTTTTAACCTCACAGGTACAGACATTATAATTTCTGTTGCACATGATGTAAAATCAACATGCTTTTAAAGTATTGAGAAACATTTATAGGTTTATTCCACTGATTTAGTATTGTACTCTCATAACGTTGGGGACTTACAAGAGATAGATGGAAAAAAACAAAACCAAAGATCAGAATTGATCCAGTTTCAAAGCCTCGAGCCAAAGCCAAGATAACCCTGATGACATCATCAGAGCTTTTAATACTGTTTTCATCATTTTTCTTGAGAAAAGGGCATATGACAGAAATTACTCTCATTTTGACTTTGTCCATGTAGACTTTTCTATATTCTTTTCAGCTATCACAATAACAATAACAATAATAATAATAATAATAATAATAATAATAATAATAACAATAACAATAATAATAATAATCAAATGTATTTGATTAATTTAATTATATTACTGGCAAAATACTTGATCCACAAATCTAAATATGCAAACTTAAAACCTGTGCTTTTTGTTAGTCATTGATAAAATCAAACATCTAAGAATTTATAAGTGATATTTTTTGATGTTTTTTATGCATAGACCCTGGTTACTGTTAATGAGCCGCTTCTCTAAATAAAAGTTAATAAAGACATTATACAACTGTTGTTACAGGCTGAGTTCTCCTCATGATGAGTAAACTCATCTTTGTGTGTAAAACTTTGCTTTGACCTTAACACAGATTTATTATTCATTGCACTACGGTGTGTAATTTTATACATTGATGGATATTCAGAAACTTAGTTTGCATTGTTATGAATGACAAATATTTTTATTTTGTAGAAGGAAGTACTCACCTTCATGGTATATTTTCAGATAAGCTGGTTCACTGGCAAACATTTCAGTATCCAGTATAACATCATTCTCTTCCTTAGGTTGTAGTTAATAGTTGTGAACAATATTTAAATTTTTTCCACTTATATCCTCCTGATAATGTATTACTCTTGATAATCAAATATGACTTGTCGTGCAGGTCAAGCAGACTTGAGGATGTAGGCAGGACCAGCTAGAGAAAAACTTAATGTTACAGAGCATTTGATTGGCTTAGCCACGCATGAAGCTGCTAGTGTGAAACGCCTGACTCTTCCAGTCGCCTCTATAGTTCGTTTTTAGAGCAAAATTTCCCATAATCTACCTGAGCCGTGGCGGTCCCTTAGAAGTAAGCAGGTACAGTTTGCCATGGCAGCCTGGCCTAATTCAGGCAGCGCATGGTAGATGCTCTAAATCCAACAGTAACACAGGACGCTCGCAATTTAAAGTCACCACCACCACTTCCCTACCCAGATTTTCTCCTTATGGCTCACCGATAAGCGATTATTGTAAATCTCCATGAAAAATGTGCACCAGTAATTCCCCTTTGAGTGTCTGTATTTTTGGATCACAATGAGCTGCTACCTAGTAAAGGATGTGCCAGAGGAAGAAAGGGTATCCTTGCCCACCTACATCATGCTGCTGTTAAAATGTAAGTTAGCAGACAATAGATGGCTTTGCGACGCCAAATCCACCCTGCAATCCCTGTGGTGTTCATGTGGTCCTGCTGCTGGACAGTCGCACTCCTATGAAAGAAACAATCCACCTAAAATTCCATGTACCTGCCCAAGTCCTTCGGGCCTCTCATGTCTCTCTGTTGGACAATATTAAAGAAGTCTTTACTCCCTTTGAACACTACAGCTGTTTGACTACAACCTGAGCGTATTCAGTAGACTCAGGCAGATGGAGATGTGATTTTGTACAAACACTGGCATGGCACTGCTCCATCGTGTCAGTGAAATAACCACGCAGCATCCTACAGGCATGTTTGCAGAGCAGAGAAAGACACAAAGTGACACTCTTCAGCTACTCTCCTCATTACAAGATCAACCTCCTTGCCAACAGAGGTTAACACCAACCTCCAGCTGAGGCTGCCTGCACGTATGCAGCGATAAGAGGGATTTAACAGGTTTCCCATTGTTTTGACTCCACTTTTTCACTGAAATCACTGCGGCTTATTTACACACGTCATGAAGTAAAATTCTTAGGGCTAAACTGATGCCATGTTTGTCCGCTTGTTTGCTTTGCCAGGGGCCACAGGGGCACAGGGAGGAGTGCAGCAGCACCTCGGGGGACAGCAGCAGTGACACACAGCAAACTCCCCACGACTGTTTTATCGAGGGAGGTACAAGCTCCGAGAGCCAGGGGGGCAGCAGGGAGTGCTGGATACAGGGTCCCGCTGTTAGCAGTCACACATGAATCATACGACGACTATGTGAGTCCAATCCTCTTTGCACACTGAAAAGTATAGCTGATATTAATTTCACTTGAACTGTGTGTGAATCAGACTTGGTTTAATCCCCTTTCGTGTGTTCTAGACGACTTTTTCCTTAAATGGAGAGGTGAGGCATTCAGGGATAAAAAATTAGGGAAATCAGGAAATTATTGTAACATATTTTTACATAATTAACTTAAATTTTAAAAGCATTCTGTACATTTTATAATGAACTTGGATCTTCTGTGCAGCCCTTTAGTTTCATTTATTTCAGCGCAATATTAAATTCAACTTGTTTGACTTAAACACAGCCTAGGATAAGTGATCCATCCCAGTGAACATTACATCGCCTTCATCCTTTGTTGCTAAGCTGGGTTATCATTGAGTGAAATACATTTGCAAGCATTATTTGTATGCATAATAATGTATATTTATATGCATCATGCATATTTGCAAGGATTATTTTTTCTTCATCCAGTTTTATGTTGCTGTGCAGATTTGCAGATAAATATTGCACTAAACTTGATGAATAACAATTGATTATGTTAATTGATTAAAGAAATATCTGTTCAAAAGTAAAATTAGTTCAAATTTTTCAATTACCTGTTAGTCATTTGAAATATCTTTTCTGTCTTTTAAAAATCTTCACCTTGAGGAAAAGTGTCATATAAATGTAAAGCAGCTTTGAATGATGGCAAGACACAAACCCATGAAGCTTTGCATTGTGAACAGCTGCACAATTACCACGGAAAAAAAAATCCTCACCAACTCGGGTCACTGAATGACAGGTACACAGAGAGGCCCTGTAAAGACCCGGACAGATGGTCCACTGGCCCACCCAGATTTGTCCCAGTAAATTGTCGGTAGTCCCTTGACCAGTGCTCTATCAAATATATGTTCACTCCACTTAAAATGATGCTGGGATCCATATTGAAAAAAACAGGCCCTATTTAAAAGTATGCTTGTCGTCAGATCTTGGAAATTTCCCAAGGTCATTTTGAAAAGACTACACAAGGTGAGCTCTAAGTTTCATCCAAATGAAAAAAGGCAACACTTTTACCAGTCTATTTCCTCAGAGCCTTCCTGCTAAGCAAAGCCCCCATGTGTGTTGGCAATTGAAGATTGGGCTGTCTGCATGGGGAAATGCACAAGCGCAGTCTCATTACCAAACCAAATTGAGTTCTGATGTAGAGCCTGTGTATTTCTGAGGAATGAGAAAGCGAGGCATTTCTTCTCTTTGTAATTGGAGGGTGGGAAGGAGGGTGGGAGCACAGAGACTAGGGGATTATGGAAAGATGAGTTTGTCCTGAACATTTTCTTTCCTCATATCTCACTTTGCTATTTTTTTTCTACTACATTACACGATTTCCTTTGAGCATGTTTCCAGAATGTACCAAGACCTCTTTATGCCAAGGTCCAGGTTTGTTTGTTTGTTTGTTTTTTCAATCACCGGCTATACAAGATGCTGTGCGGCTTGTTGTTATTCCACTACAAGAATCCTGCACTGTTCAGGCTACTGGAACACAATAATAGATCAGCAGCAGTAGATGGCTCTTTGTTGTTACATCCTATATTTGTCTTTGGGTAGATGCTGAATGTACTGTAGCGTGTATGGGTATCATGTAGATTTCTCCAGAGACATGTGATTGATGGACTCTGTCAAACTGTCAGTCTATCTCATAGAAGTGATACTGTGAGAACGTCCATAATTGTTCCTAATCGAGGTTGGTATTGATTTAAAACTGCAGTGGGAAGTATGAGGAAGCTGGTAGTTATCATGTATCGTCGCTTTATAATTTATGAACGTTTTCTCTTTATCTTTCTCCCACAAATCTCACCTTGCTGTATCCTTTACTCCAGCACCCGCTTTTCTTTGTTCCTCACAGAGTGTGGCTCTTTGTTCGATGACTCACCTTAGCTTTTACCATTCAGGTTTACAGAATGCAGCCCATCACTCACTGAAACCATATAAAGCAGCGCTGCCAAAAGCAAAAAACAGATTTGCACCCTTAAGTGATGTTTTTTCGACGTTCCGCTGTGAAGGACTTAAAGGCCAACTTGGCTGAGATCTCCCTTTTTATTGAGGATGTTAAAGGATAAAGCTGTTGATAATTTTATAATGCTCTTACTGTCAGCAAATTCCATTAAGAAAACAAAACCGAGAATAAATTGATCCTACTAACAAGTATTATATGTGTATCCAAAGCCGGATGCAGCTTATTCCTCTGTGCCACCAAGCTCCATTATTGTTAAAAAAAAACTATTAAAAACCGTGAGCCGCACCGTTGCACTCAGTGGCATTTTTCTTCATTACAACAAGCATGGGAACTGTAGTTTATTTCACCTCAATTCCACTGCCTCGGTAAAAACTTACTAGAGCACCAAATGTGTATTAATCCACAGCTGAAAATAGTCCCCTACAAAAACACAGTTTATTCCTGTTTGAGTAATACTTGCTAGAAAACTACAGTGCCCAGCTGTTAATTATTTAATGATATTAAATAAATTATTTAGCCTTTAAAAAAATTTACTTGTTGAAAGAAATGTTACTAGGTCTGACCTAATGAAATTGCCATCGTGACTGTGTAAAAGTGCCCAGGATGCTTATTAAATTGCCATCAGATTAACATAAAGCGGTGCATGTCTGAAAAGGGCTTTAATTACAAGTAATTATTAGTCCATTAGTTGGGGGAAATATCTTGCTTTGAGGAAGATCCTTGAGGTTTTACCAATATATCCATCAAGTGAAATAATAAAAGAAAGCTATCATATAGGTTGTCAGTGATCCGTCAGTCACATGACTAAAGCCACTGCCTTGTTTCCTGCATCGCTGCATTTTGCGGTTGTATTGTCCCTCATTCCTTTATGCACAGTCAATGCAGCAGTTATTAACATTGTTGCACAGTCTGCTGTCAGAAACCAATTTGCATAGGATTGCTTATTCATTACCAGCACATACACATGTAATTGTGCATGCGCCCTGTAGTTGCAGCCATTGCATAGTGAATGAATGACACACTATTGTTTACTCCTCAGTTTGGGGTGAAGTTCCCATAAATATTTGCTGTGTTTCTGCTGTGGAGCAGGTTATCATGTAAAAGGGAGACTGTAGTGATTAATGGCCTCTGTCACGCTGTCAGTGTCGTAAAACTAATACACTGACAGTGACCATTATTGTGCCTCTTAAAGGATAGCAATGATTCAGACGTGAAGTGGATCGCAGTGCTTGTGGGGGGAGCATGGACGGGGGGGTGGGGTGGGGGGGGCATTCAGGTATCACCTCCAAGGAATGAGCTACAAATATTTTTTACAAGATGAAGTCAGAAGTATTTTATTTTCATGATTCTGGGCTGATACAGTTTTTTTTTAGCGATTCTTCACATTGTCATATGAAATCCTCTAATCTAGAGATTGATGATTGTCAGGCTTTCAATTCTGAGGACAGGTGTTAACATACTGCAACAGACATGCCACTAAATCATCTGCTGTGTGTCTGGTAGATATCTCTGTCTCATACTCATAAGTGCGAGTGGGCTTTTAGCATCAGTTCAGATAAAGTAATAGGCTTTTTACTGATTCAGTTATCCATAAAGGATTGACTTATCATTAGGCTAATTTAGTCAATCTGATCATTAAGGTGACACACTTCTTACCTTTTCATTAAGACCATTTGATAATAAAAGAAACATTCGAAGATTCAAAACACACCATCTACTCACATGGTGGTCAACCAAAGCACGAGGCTGTCTCTTGCTTCCTGGTGAAGGTAATGTACCACGCTTTGAAAGAGGACATTTTGATTGACATGACTAAAAATACAAAGTATTAACAATGACTTTTAGCTTTTTTTTTACATCTCTGACAATTATTTGACATATTCATTACACCAGGAAAATAAGCAATCAGCCACCCATCTGCATAGAGCTGCGGAATGAATTTCCCCATCTGTACTATAATGTGAAAGTGCTTAAAATGCAGATCTGTTATCCAGTCAAAAGAGGCCTGTTTTCCAGTGATAAGTTATCTGCTATTTCAGCAATCAGCCAATGTGTAAAACTGTGTTATTAATTGTTTTACAATTGCATCTGAGAAAATGTCTTTCCAGCTCTTATAGTACAGTATGTGATGTAATGCAGCACTATTTTAGTTCATGGTTTCACACATAAAGCACAGTTTGAATCGGTACAGTACTTATGTGCAGATATTAGTTTTAGTTTCAGTCTGAAACATGAGAGAGCCACTATTACAGTCTGCCTCTTATAATCCATTATTAATATGAAAATTACTTTATTGAAGTATGTCATTGTAGGTGTCGCAGTGAGGTGTACTTGATATCAAAGTTCTAAAATTACCACTAATCACCGTGATTTTCTGACTTTTTAAACAAGCGTGACTGAATGAATGTTTCTAATCCTCGAGACAGAGCAGCAGTGAGACATTTCACTGTGATCAGTGAGAGTTCTTCCATGTGAAAAGTGCAGAGAGAGATTAAAGACGTGATTGATGGCATTTTCTATAGACTGGGACCATGGCCTCAGTTTAATGTTAAAGATCAAATCCCATCTGGATCAAATCTTATCTTTTAATGTCAGGGCTGATGATAGAAGAGAGGAATCTGAGAGTGATACAGGATTCTGCTCCTGACAGCAGACCATGAATTGTACAAATTGCTGGTAAAAACTGAAACGCATTGCTTGGTTTTTTAAACCTGAGCCCTGCAACCATACCAAAGCTGTGCGGGAAATGCCATAATGTGATTAAACACAGAGCTTTGGGAGGCTTTGAAGAAAAAAAAAAAAAGAAAAAAAGTCTAATCTATCTACTGTGAAAAAAGCAAAAGGACACCCTTTTGAAATGGGGGGGGGGGGTCTCCCCATATCATCTATTTCATGAACATAAAAGATGCGTGAGATTTGTGAGATTCTGTATATTTCTTGGAGGGGAGCAGTTTCTCAGGCCACCTTTAAGGACGGCATGCACATCTGCTGTAATTGCTTTATAACAATGGGTTCAGATACACTGCTGAGTTCACATTTGTTAGATTAATTATGGAAATTCTCCATGCAGAACTCTCTTGTTTATTAAAACAGATGTATGACACACACTTGCACTTGGATTATTTAATACAAGAAAAAACTCAGGTAGAATGCATAATGGCCCCTGTTTTATCATCAGGGACTAACACCGCTGGTGAGGGAAGAAGCAGACAGATGCAGTTACATCTGATGCTAAACTCTGCAAGCACACCAAGTAATAACATTTGTATAGCGACGAAGCCTTGTCTGGTTTGTTTATTTTGTTCTTCAGCCTCCCTGAAGCCAATATGACAAACATGATATTGTTTAATGTCACTAAAGTAATCGAGGTTCAATCTCATCATAATTATTTCCTCTGGTAAAAGAATCCTTCTCAAATATAAACTGTGACACACTCGCAGTAAATATATTCAAAAGTAAACTCGTACTTTAAGTGTATAACAGACAACAAAAGGTTGGTGCTGATTGAATTTGCACAGGTAGAAAGCAGTGAAGAGTAGCATCTATTCACTGAGACAAAAGGCTGCAAATCTCATTTTCCTTCCCTTTCTGCTGTGTGGAGAGGCATTCACAGGCAGCCCCCTATGAAGATCAGTCACTGTCAGGGGACATACAGGTTGTCAATTGATAATGAAGCACAGTGCTAAGGGCCTTTCGGTTCCCGTTGTCCTAATTACACTGAGCTAGGACTCTCCACCCTTGTGTTAACATTTGATTTATTTCCTCTGCCTTGTTAAAAGGGACCAATGTTAATAGTTTTTACAGGTAAGTGTCAAACTAAAGGAACCAGGCCTCTTTAATTGGGGCCAGGTCTATTTACACACAGTACCTTGTCCGATCTGAATGCTGCCTGTGTTCTGGGTCAGACTAAGGTCAGCACAGAGATAAGTCATTGTGATGAACATTTTGTTTTCTTTGAGCCGACGCTGATTATTTAGGCTTTATCATACATTACACCTGTTGCATAGCCTCTAAATATTGATTGCTTGTGTTTCAAAATAAATCAGTTGCAACCTATATATGTATAGTTAAAAATCTTAACTCAAGGCTCACCTACTAGTTTTTTCCAGAGCTTTCAACCGCATCTCACTGTCTTCCTCATACATTTATTAACATATTATAGTTTATTTGAAATATAATTTTAAAATCAATTCAAAAATGGATGGTACTGCTTCAAAAGTCTTATAGCTAATCATGCACCATTTATAAGCAATATGCTCAGAGTGAGATTTGAATCGCGAGCGTAACAAATGATTTGAACATTTGAGAGGATTATCCTCTTACTTGTGGCTGCCTGAACTCCCTGAGCACAGTCTCAAACTGAGAGCAGAGCGCCATCTGTTCAGTTTGACCTGGTAGTGAACCGTCATCCCGTCCTCTTCTTCTATTTTCAAAATAAATTGCCGTGGCCATGTTAGCTAACTTCTATTTCTAGTGTTTTCTGACCCAGATGTAGGGTTCGGATTAAATCATTTTAACAGATAAATGTATTAGAACCATTATGAGAAAAATATTTATGAAGGAGGCTCATTTACACCTCTGAGCTGCCCTCAGAGTCTGATATGAGGTGATTCAGTTTACTGTGATCTGATCTGAAAACTAATGGTATGAATAAACTAGGCGATGGTAAAAGGATCAACTGGATCGCAAGACTATGACTGAACTTCAATCTACAGTGCAGATCCATACACCAGTTCATAATAAATGATAAGGCAATAAAATACGTAAATCGCATGGTGCCCTAAGTAGTCGGTCCCCATTCGTGACAGTGTCGTCCAGATGTGGGTGTGTCCTGTTGCAGTTTGCTATTCAGTAGTGGTTGGCGAGTAGCCTCCTGACATTTCAAGTGTTCAGAAACTTCCCACAATGCTGTAGAAAATTGAGAGAGCAGACTCAGAAAGCTGCACGCACATGATTGGGGACTTCGTGCTCAGATCTATTTCTGCTCTCACAAATCCGTGCCTAGACGCTCTCAAATGTCGACATGCAGACTGAGTTGCGCTCAGACATTGATGTTTGCTCTCTCTCAAACCTTTTGTCGTCAATTTCTTTCCATAGACAGACCTGCCATGCCTAGTTACTGTTGCTAAGATATGATTGGCCCATCGCTGCTCAGGAGTGAGGTTTAGCAAACAGTCCATCGCTTACATTACAGTTATTTGTATTACCATAAATTCAGTCTCACATAAGTTTCATTGGATGTAATAACTTTTTTAAGTATTAAAATAAAACTCAACACGAAGTGATGACCTAATGGTCAAGTAAAATATGGGAGTAACATTTCTCTAGAAACTGTAAAAGCATAAACCAGACAACTGTGGTGTTAAAAATGTAAACAGCAGCAGGACTCAGAGATAACTTTATCTATACCTTCCTTATGCCGAGCTGAGCACACACACATCTTCCAGGTAAACTAACAGCTACAAACAGTATGCTGGGCTATGATGTGTTCAAATGACTTCAGTGTCTCTATCATTTATTTAGGTATTTATTTTGTGCAGCTAATGCACTAAGAACAACAAGGACATATTTATTTTATGTGTCTAAAGGCAGCACGGATATCATGGGGAAAAACCTTTTTACATGACTTCACATTCCTGCATTTCTTTATCTTAACTTTATTTTTTATAATACATTTGACTGAAATTAATCCACTTCAATGTGGATATGGGATTGCTAACAAAATGGTCAATTACTGAGATATGCAGGTCTCTGACTCCTGACGCCTTTGTGGAGAAAGACTTGTGCAAGAAAAAGAGAAGTATTGGATCCCCTGAACAACTTAATCCCTGACATAATCCCTAACTTTAATTTAGTCAAATTCATGTTCACACAAATAAAGCCACACAGCGGGAACTGGAGCTGTTTGAATCAGCATTACCCGACAGGAGAGAGAGTGTACAGTTGTCAAAAATTTACCTTTTTTTTTTTTGCATGGCTGCACTCGATGTCCTTCACACTGGTGCGTCTACTTTTGTGTCACAAAGCGTAATCAGACACAGCCACACCTAATGCACGGTGCTATTACTCTACTGTTAGATGTGGAGGAATAATGCGCTGTAGAGACCACGTCTGGTGTAAACCGACTGATTTAAAATGCACTGGATGTCGAAAAGGAACTGAACACTTGTACGTATCATGGTGGAGCTTGATTTGAAACAGCAAGCTTGGAAAGGATTAGAAGAGATTAGATCATGGCTGAAAAAGAAACATAAGCACTTTAAACTCCACTAAATCTCCTTAAATGAGCGAGATCCAACAATTACAAGAGCAGACAATAGCGAAGTTTACAGTTCTGCACACACTTTGGCCTTTCTTCAGTTATGGTATTATTCAGGTTAAGCTGTTTACGTGAGCCTGTGGTCCGCTGAGACTGGTTACCCCTGCTGTCAGGAATAAACCATTTCACAGAATATTATGTGGAGTGTTTTCTTCAGACAGATCAGAGGTGTAGGTTTGGTTTCTACCAATTCTATCTATTATTGGCAAAATAGCTCTTGCAGTCTTCCTCAGGTATCATTCAGCTCCTGCAACCTCCTCCAAGAAGAAAGGGCAGCCTGAGTGTTGCCTGAGAGGAAGAAGCCGGGGTAAAAAGTCACCAAACTTCAAAAAACTGCTCAGAAAACCTAATTGGTGTGAGCGCACATATATCATATTTGAAAGTAGCTCTGATGTGGGTATCAAGGTTTTGACCAGCTCCTCTCCTCTCTGATCAGCTGAACAGTCAAAGGACATTGTCCTCTTTAGAGGGATTTGGGGAGTAAATCAACTGGAACTGTAAAAGTGAGATGGACAAAAATGGTATTTTGAAAAGTGAGACATGTCCACCCCATCTCCAGTGGAAATTACACCCTGAAGAGAAGTAAAGAGATGAAAAGATGGTAAAGAACTGATGATCTTGAATTGATTATGTGAATAGTATATGGTTTATGCAGATGAAAAAAGACTAAAGTGAAAAGAGTGAGATGTTTACATGTCACAGCATTAGAAGGTTCTTGGACAGCCCCTCTGTGGTTTCTTCCTTTTACCAAGTTACAGTGTTTACCTGAATTGTTTCAAAACCAGGTTACTTGCATAACTGGGTTGAGAACAGATTTCTCTGTAGTTGTAAAAAGTCACTAACTGGATTAACAGAGTCTGGGACGCAGGACGAGATTCACAGCAAGAGTAGCCCTTTAGATGAAAGAAAACTGAGTGTTGACTGCTTATTCTCATTACATGATTATACTCCAGTTTAAAATGCAATGCTGATACAGAATGATCCTTCCTCTGTGTTTGCAGAGGACAACAGCGCTGTGTGTTTATGAGAAATATACAAATAAGTGTAATATATAGGTGCTTTAGCTGCTGTCTTTTTTTTTTTTATGTGGTTACCAATACTTACAGATGGCGAGGAGGGACATTCTGCAAAACATCTACAGTATGCAATTGTTCATAAATTTAGGAGGTCTTTTTTAATGTGCGCTCCGTGCTGTTTAGCCACTTTTATTGCTATTGAACATGACTGTAGTTACTCGCTGGCTTTTTGTTCTTGTTTTCTGAATAGCTACTTATCAATAGATGAGATCCATATCGCTGTTAAGACTCAGATGGTGTCCATTAGGCTCCTCTAGTGAGACGTGTTCCCCCTGAACATCTCAATCAATAATCTCTGCTGGACATGAATTTTTCCTGTTTCCTCTTCTATTATGGGCACAATGTGACGGACTTTGCCTGTAGAACTAAAGTATAGATTGTTTTTATATTCATCTCTAACCACTTAGACTGGATAAAGATGAGGAGATAAGTCAACTTGAATGCTTACAGTGTGTTTCCTCTCGCAGGGCTACGATGATGGATACGGTGGAGAATATGATGACGAGAGTTACGAAGCCTATGAGGATAACTACAGCAATCAGTCAAAGAGGTGATGTTCACTCACAAACGCTGGAGAAACAAACATAAAAAGCTTTTTAAGTCAGTCAAACACTGTTTTTTTTTTTGTTTTTTTTTTACAATCAGCATCTGTCCACTTACAGCACAGCGTGTGAAAAGTGCTGTATTCATCATCATGTTTCTGCATTTCAGCATTACATTCCAATTTCCTTTATAATCCACTTGAATTATGTTGTTTACTCACAACATTTAGAATTAAAACCATGTATCTTTGTAAAAGGATAAGGCTGGTGATATATTTTTCTTACTGTCAACAAATACCAGGAAAAGAGATGAAAAGAAAAAACTAATGACTTGATACAAGTAACAAGTCTTGTTCAGCAAAAGTCTGATGTAGCTTATTCCTCTGTGCCACCGAGCTCATCTGTCCTCCGTAAACTATTAGAAACACAGTGTTGGGCACCAAAGTTAATCCCACATACTCCGTTCTGCTGCCGTAAATACTCACTGGAGCATCGAATGTGTATTAATCCGCATCTGAAAATAGTCCCCAGCAAATTCACTCTTTACTTCTGTTTCAGTAAAATATGTACAGTATGTTTGCGATGGGATGCACTGACCATGAGATAAATAGAGAAAAAGGCCAATATTTATTTCGTGGCCTTCCACATCCACCAAAACAAAAATATGAACAAACGTGGCTTTAGTTTGACCGTGATGTTTCCCCTCTGTCTGATTTAGCATTTCAGAATATTACGAATATGGACATGGAACCAGTGATGAATCCTACAACAACTATGGTAAGAACAGCTTCTAAAGTACTTAGCAGAGATTTTTGTGAGCTGAACATCGCTGATCCAAACATGGATCATAAACTTTTTAACAAACATCCTTGGACCTGATTTAAATTCATTCCTGATAAGATAAAGTCTTGGCCACACACTCCTGGCTGCTGCTGCTGCTGCACTGATATTTAAAAGATGTTCCACAGCAGAGAAACAAAGGAAAAAAAGCCTTGTGCTTCCAGACCACTTCTAATCATCCTCACCCAGGGAGCTGCTCCTGCATGCTTCACCCTCCCTACCCTCATGACTACGAGCTGCATTTGACTAGAACGGCAAATGTGCCAGTGGAAGCTCAGGGGGCTAACCAATGCCTGTTGTAAAGGTGGAGTGTTTTGCCTTTTTGGATATGTGCCCTCATAGGCTTATTCCAGAAAGGCTGTTACTATCGGCTGAGTAACCTCTGCTGTGCATACAACACTGCCGTCAGGTATAAAGAAATATCTCGTATCTCCAAAACGCCAACTGCATCTTCAAATTTCCTCAAAGCTCTAAATAAAACACATTAAGCTTCAATTTAAGCCAAAATGTTAAAATCACCTGAAGTGAAGTTACAAGGTTATCACATGACAGCTGCGATAAGCTGGTTGCCACAGTGGGTTTGCAGGCTCATTCATTTTCAGCACAATGAATTGTGCACTGGTGTGTTGAGGTCAGACCAAACCAAAACCAAGGGGGCAATGATTTGATTTTCTGCTCCATAAACACTTTCTTATTTGGAAGCTGTGCAATGTGCCATGCAGCAGAGGTGGCCATCTTTATGTAATTTGGCTCTGAGGAAGGAGCTGCTGACTGTCAGATCTCAGTATTGGTCCAACAGAGGGCAAAGAGCTTATGAAATTAATTTTCCGTGGAGAGCAGCCTCTGTAGGCTCTTCTCCACAGAAAATTGTGAGATGGTAGTAGACAATACCTGTGTGACATGAGCTCTCTCAGCACAGTGAATGCAGCGGGTCTCTACCATGTGTTTTTAACTGTTTTTGCAGAGGAGGAGTGGGCGACTACCCGTCCCAGTCTCAAAGCCCCTGCTTTACGGCTGACAAGAGGGGGCTACAGGAAACATCCCTATGGTAGATACTGAAGGTGCTCCAGATATGTGACCTCCAATTTCAAGTTGTTTGTAATTTTTTTTCTAAATTCATCATAAAACGTTGTAACATTTACTTTTTTGTCCGTCTCCTTCAGAAATTGAAAAAAAAAAAAAAAAAAACCTTATATAGTGCATAAATCCACAAAATCTAATATTGCAGTATTCAGATTTTTTTTATTTATAAAGGATGGAGTCATTTTATGAAAAACACAGTGAAGAAATCTATGTTACAGGAAGGTTGTTATTAAAACTGGCTGTTTAAATACCCTTCATTACACCTCCAGCCCCATAAAAACATAGTTATTTTAGATTTTTGACATTACACAGATTTTGTTCATAAAGATTATGTCTCAGATTTTGACAAATCAGTTTCCATTTATTGCCTTTAATGCAGTGATACTAGCCGACCCCTGTAACGCCATAAGACTACACAATATTTCTGCCTCTCAAGATGCTCAGTAAGTTACATTAGGCAATCACAGATTCAGAATTTCTTCAGTGTAACAAAACAGAAAAAAAAACCCCCGCTTAGCTCATTTTTGGTCACGCAATATGAATTACAGGCAGGATGAATCTTTAACCAACCACAGCTTTGGAGCAAATATGACACTCACGACAAATTTAAAAAGTTGCTTTTTCTTCACTGATTGGTCTGCATGTGGGGTCAGTCTGCTTTAACTAATACCTTATAGTGCAAACTTAACTGTGAGACTCAGACTGGCTTCTTCAAGACATATTTGTTTTTCCACAACCGTAATCATGATTTGGCTTTGCAAAATTAATCACAGACAGTTTTGTTTTTGAAAATAACATGATGAACTCCATCAAAGGCAAAAGATGGAAACCAAACCTTTTCCGGAACTGAATGCAAAGTGACTAAATGTACCAAACATTTACTTTAAAAATGTTTAATGTTGAGAGATCTAAACCAGTCCTCACGTTTCCCCATAACTGACTGCTATATGAGACTCTGATGACTTAATGGTAAAAGTGAACGGACTGACTAAAGTTAGCCTAAGTTATATTGTGATTTTAAATGATGAAGATGTGAGATCGTAATCGTGCAAAGCACTTCTTTTTTTTGTTTGGGTTGAAAGCAATCAGCAGTATACAGTGTGTTATTTATAATGCGTGCTTTGTTCTGTGTGTAATCTGTATTTGTACATAAAGCATTTAATAAAAACAACATAAACCTCAACACAGTGTGTAAGACTTTCTAAATAGGTGGCTATGGAGCTATAAATTGGTATTTTTTTCTACAGTTTGTTAACATAAGCGAGAACATTTGAGCTTTTTGTTCCTAAAACTTAACATCTGCTTTCAGGTAACGGCTAACCCGCTTCATAAAGACAGCGCACCAACCTGTCCCAAATGAATTATTGGTTAAATAATTTATATTCCTGCTCAATCTTCCTTGAATCTTTGATCATTTTTTTTTATTTAGAAACTAATACATTTCTTTTCTTAATCCATTCTCTGAAGTTTTACATCATTAAACAGACACACTGATTGACTCTGAGAATGATTTGGAGTTAAAAGAGGTAAGAAGTCCTCATATATTATCTTAATAATGCCTTAAATACGCTGAGCGTTTGAAGCTGGCTCGTGAAGAGAATAATGGGCCATACAGGATGTAGATACTGGTTTTCACCCTCTGATGTTATTGCTGAGTGAAAAAACAGCATACTCAGTGTGTAGTGTCTTATCTGCAACTCATCAATGTTTCTGCTAATCTCTTTCTGCATTTCTGTCATTTAACCTGACAAAGCTGTATATGCACTGTAATTTTCCGTGCTTTAAACATCAAAGCTGAAGTCCATTTAGCGATTTGAATTCTCTTTTGTGATTAGTACACCTGAAGCCTGGCTCTCATGAAAGGAAGACTAAACACTAAGCAGGTAACCCTAATAATAATACTAATTTAATCATCAAATGCTAACTTCCACTTAAAAAAAAGTAAACCTGCCCTTTTTAACCCCAAATAAATACACGATTGAATTAAAATCCCTTTCTATCTCTAACTAGATAGTCCATAAGGAATCCAGCTAAACTGTGATAAAAGAAATAATAAGTTTTTATAACAGACACTAAAATAATGTCCAGCAAACTAAACATCACATCAGTGATAAAAATAAATTACAAACATTTGCTCAAAACCTCTCATAAAATGTCATGATATTTATAACACCTTGAATTGGTTTACTTTTTTCACAGTGATGGAATGTAATGACTGCTGTGCTATACACTGTACACATTGTATACATATACTACATGGCATGCAGTCTGTCAGCCTACACTTGTTTAATATTGATGGTATATAGGATTGACATATTCTTTATCATATTGTTTTGTTTTTTCCTGCAGATAAAGAAACCACCAACACCATAGTGTGATTTGGTCAAAGCAGAGAGGAATACAACTGGTGAGTGGATATATTTATGCAAATCATTTGTAGTCAGGTTTGTTGAAATCTTCAGGGGTCACTGGTGAGTCATATTTAATTTGAACATTTAAATGAGACATAATTAACAGAAAATCAGCAGGTTTGACTCATTTGACCTCCTCAGTCTCATGTTTACTTTGACTCATGAGTTAACAGGCTAAAACAGACTGAAACTTAAAACGAGTGTGTGTGCTTGTTTTAATGCCAGAACATAATTTATTACTGAACTTCTCCATTTATGTTTTGTGATTGTTTTGCGAAGAGCAATATTTTCTCGCAGCTCACGGCATGCACACTGTTCATAAAGGACTGAAATATAATTTGCACCTCTCATAAATTCAGCATTAAAGCTCATTTACATCAGCTACAAGTCTTAAAGTACACAGTTTTTATTACAGTGATGGCTCATTAAAATACAATAAAGTACAGACATGCAATTAAAATAATAGAAACAAAAGGGATACAGGAAACAAATCTTACTAAAACTGCAATGGGATAGAGAATAATCATCTCTAGTAGAACAGCAAAGTAATGACTAGTTTCACTGTTTAAGTTTCACAGTGGAACACTGCACTTCAACTAATTAAAAATAATATTTATTGTACCTATATTACTCATTACATATCTTATTTTCTGTCAAATTAATTTATTTTATTTCTTCTGCACAAGGTATTTGCATATTTTTCTTTCTGCTATTATGTAATACTCTTATTATATATCTATGTGTGTATTTTTTATTCCAATCTATGTCTTATTGCGAAGCAAACTACCGCTACACTTAATCCCTATGGACACACGCACCTGGTAACTTATTCATAATTCATGTTCTTCTACGGATGTTTTTCCAAAGCTGCAGTTCTTTTTCAAAATTTATTCAGAGGTACAACACCTTAATTGTACACTTGTGCTGATAATGCACAACAAGATTTATGAGCAACGCTGATCCAGAAGTTCAAGACACAGCATCAGTGGTTGTTACTGTAATATTTTAATATTTGTGACATCCACAAATATGCCATTAGTTTTCCTAAGATGTTTCTATTTTTTCCTGTAACATATCTGTTGATTCTCACCGCAAACCTAAAACATTGCCATCACATTTAATGGCCTATAAGGATGACTGCAAGGCATAGTAACAGGATTGACTGAGACAAGCAAGACAACTGTCAGAGCTGCAAGAATATCTTTTCAACTTAAATGCCCTCTCATCAGTTTCCATCAAAATAAAATTAGTAAAATGAATGAATACTTCTCTAGAGCTAAGACGTTTTTTTTTTATTTCAACAAGCTTAAATGAAGTTGATACTTCATTCTGTGACAAGAAAGATTCAATCAAGAACAAAGAGTCAGTCAATAGTCAGTTGCAAACAGTAGTTAACATTTTACAGTCTCAAGTGTCCCAATAGTAAGTGTGATTTTGTTCTGAGCATCTGAAACAAAGAAGATCTTTGTGGAAATTAAAGGTTGTGGAAATTATCGTAACTGCCACTATATGTCACACGAGACCACCAGCATCGCAGACCCAGTGATATGCGCCACAGGAATGCTGCCAGTAAGCCAGGTAGCAAAAGCTACATTTGCCAAACATATTCATAACATCGGAAAGGTAGCTAATGTTTTCATGCCTTCAGTAGCTAGTGACTAAAGAAAATAGATATGTAACAGTATGTAGCCATCAAGTTACTTACAAATGGAGGAGAAGAGAAGCCAGTTCTGAGTCGAGCTGGAGCCCTTTAGCCGTTTGTACGGCTCTTCATCTCAGTAAAGTCAGACCAGTATTGACTCCACAGTCGGACTGGGAAAGAAATTCAGCCTTGGACTTGTCTGATGGGACCGGTCACACAAATGGAGACTGTCTTCCTGTGAAAAACAAGCAGACAGGTCGTTTGTGCAGCAGCTTATTATGACCTATAGTTACGTTTTGTTGTTAGGCGACATATAGTGGTTGTATTAATTATGACAAAAGGGAAAAGTGCGGTGATGTAGTATAAAGAGTGACAAAGTCCGTATTAGGAAGAAGTTAGGGTGGATGGATGGGTCAACAAAATCTGGAATATGACATAGGAGATCAGTATTCGATTCCCATGTGAAACCAGTTCTTTTTTTTTTAGATGAGAAATTGGTTTCTTCAGCACAGGAAATTCTGGCTGTGGGCGGTCTCTGTGTCTTTATAAACGTAGGGAGGGTCAATGGTTTAACAGGGAGGGAGTCACATGCACACATACATGCACTAACATACACGCACTGCTAGACCAGATACCAAAACAAAGAAAAGAGAAACTCAGATTGCAACACACAGAGGAGATGTGACTTCGCTCTCTGCTCAAGATGCCATTACTCCACTATATCTTTCCATAGAAAATACTTGTTTGCTGGTCTATTATTTTTGAAAATCTCATTTACAGAACCTTTAATGAACACGTTCACGGCAAACAATCTGTCTTTGGCTGAAACAGCTTTAACTTTAGAAAACAAATACTGCATTCAAACTGATAAAAACACGACAGCTTCCATTTGGCTCCATTGGCCTTTTGATGAGCCAGTTCCC